TCCTAAGGAACCATTGCGCACAGTTGAATAACATTGCAAACACGGCGGCGCGTTATCGTACGGTCAAAAAGGGTAATTGCATGAGGCACTCATCAACAGAAAGTCCCAAACCAATCTTTTACATGAAAATATTGCCCAAAAATAATCTCTGAAGTCAACAGTACTGGGATTACCCCCTAATTCAAATTTTCCTGGATCCCACGCGCCGCTGTGCAAACATCAACAGCTACACGAAGAATATCAATAAATATGTACGGGTTGCGTACGACAATCAAAGTAAAAAGCTGAGAGCAACGTACATGAATCATTATTTAATCATTCTTCCGAAATTATGACTCATAACAACGTCGTTTATTAGACGAAGGAAAGAGCGCTCGAACACTGAAAGGCCTGAATTAACGGATATCTCTTGGTGTCGGTAAATGGCACTTACAAGGCACCAAAGTGGCAAAACGACATTTAAAACTGTCGCTTCGATACGCAATTATTTTACAACCGTACAATGTCTGATATTATAAATCCGGCAGTAAATAAAGAGAAGAGAAACCGCTTAACGGGTTACGGAAACAGTCACTCCTCTCCACTTCACTCGAATAATTACAAGTACCATTAATTTCGACAAACGGAAGGTCCAACTAGAATTAAATACGTAACGTACGGAAAGAAGCTTCCTTACGGGTTAAACAATACCTGAAGACCCCTTATTGCTTGAAGCATACACGCAATTACGGCGCGTTATTCCTGGAGAGGGTAAGATCTCGCTACGTCATCTTCTAAATATAACCATGACCAAGTATTATCGTCAAGAGATTAGGCACAGGAATTAAATTAAATAAAGTAAATTACAGCAAATCAATTTGATCTTCTTACCGTGAATTAATACTTCCTAATAATGTGGATCGATCGCCGATAATCCCGTGGTATTAGCGCCTTCTTAAATGTCTTCTATTAACGATTTTTATTAATTTATACACACAAAACATTGACCAACAATAAAAACATTTATAAGGCTTCTCCTGCGACTTATTTTTGGAAAAAAAAAACATAATAAAAAACGAAAGAATTCAAGAAGTACCATCAAGGAGATACTTCTTCAGTTTATCCTGATGAGGATGACTCATAGTGATAACAGTTATGCACGTTGATACGGCAAGCTGATGCTTACATATAGATATTTCGACCGTAACTCGTTCGATCATCGGATTATAATGAAATATCGATTGCTTGACTTAACTGGAGTTGGATTTGTCACAAGTTTTTTTGTCATGTTTATCGGTTCCAAGTCCACCTTTGTCTTCTGTATGTATGTATTCTTTAAAGCTTAATAACTCCTGTTCCTTTAGCCGAAAATTTCTGAAATTTTGCATGGAGGTATGTGTACTAGGGGCGAAGGTGCTGTTAAATTTTGGTGTTTAAAGGTCAACGGGGTGGGGAGATAGAGAGGATCGTATGTCGTATCACGGGTTGGGTCGTACTTAATGAAGATTTTACTCGTTATTAGAATTTACATTTTTAAGAAACCCATCCCTAGACTCAAAATTAAGCCTTTTCTGTTTTAAAAATTTCTTAAAATAATAATTTTGCGGAAATAAATAATGTCGAAGTGTCGAGCAGTATAAAAATTAAGAGAGTGGAATGCTTAGAAGTTAGTAAAATGGCTTCCCTATTTACTAAAGTGCAACTACTTCTTTGATCGTCTAGGTTTAATTTACACTCAGGAAATGAATCCCTCTGACCTTATAAATAAACAGTCGCTGTTTGTATCATTGACGATTCGAATGGAGTTTGGTTTCTGTTAAGTACGGTAACAGACACGACCTGGATACAATCGATTGTCGAAAAATGCAAAAGCCACCTTTATAAAGAATAAACAGTACGATAAATGTTATCGAGGAGGTAAATATTAGAATGATTTTCGTTTGTTTGGTGATATTTTTATTGTTTACACGAAACTGAGAAACGCGATATCGAACAGTAACAATCAAAACTTCTCCCTCTTTCCGGAAGTGTGCTCTGACGTAGTGTTAACTATGTTTTCCCTCTCCACAAGTGGACTTTGACGTAGTTTACACAACGCCAAAGTATACTTCCGGATAGAGGGAGAAAAGTTTACACTACGTCATAGTACACTTCCGGAAAGAGGCAGAAAAGTTTACACTACGTCATAGTACACTTCCGGAAAGAGGGAGAAAACTTTACACTACGTCATAGTATACGTCCGGAAAGAGAGGGAAACTTTACACTTCCGGAAAGAGGGGAAAACTTTACACTTCCGGAAAGAGGTAGAAAACTTTACACTACGTTATAGTACACTTCCGGAGAGGGGAAAACTTTACACTTCCGGAAAGAGGTAGAAAACTTTACACTACGTCATAGTACACTCCCGCTTTACTTCTTCTCGTATTAAAATGTCTACTGAAGGGATAAATTTTCCCCGAGCGTTTGTGCCCATCATTGGTCTGATAAGCCCTCACTATTATCTGCCTCACTGTTGTTGATAATTTAATTAACATAATTATATCAAGGACTAGAAGCAACTTTTGTAATAATTTCGATAAATTTTCAGTTAAGACCGTACAAAATATATCTTCTTTAACTTCTCCGCGTACGATTCTATAGTTCATACGGATAAAAAACAATATTTCCCACGAACGTAACCTCAGTTTACGACAGAAACCAGAATTCGATTTACGACGGGCTCGCTTAACGACGATCTTCCAAAATAACCGGATTAGGTGTTTAAAACCGGATCTGGCTCGTTAGTAGTATAAAACCCTGCGGAATTCACGGGATTTTTACACGACGAATCGAATATAAAACATTCCATTAAACATAACAAATAATAGAATGGTAAACACGAGTTTAATGTATCGTTTATCTTTGTTTCTGTTGGATGTTAACGACGATGGCGTCCATCGTTTGGTTAATAAGTCTTTGGGAAGGAGGGCATCTGTTGACCTTCTTCTCTCGCCTCCAGTCGTTATGGCGTAATTCGAAACGAAACACAATACTAATCTAAGCACACCTCCATTCTATTACATTGCTTTACACTCGCTTTTATTTATTGGTTGCACCAATTTTATCGAGTTCTTAATTGGCTCTTAAGACGGGGTACAGGTATGCCGGATACCTGTCAAGTATAAGTACATTGTACACATTGTAATAGAGATTTAGAATCGGGGTTGACAAGTCTATAGTACAGTTCTTCGGCAAAGAGTAGGTTGATGACGTCGAGGAAGAAAAACGACCGGAAGTCGTCTTTCGTCTCCGGACAATCGGGAAAGGATGGAAATTTCCTTTCGGTCAATCGCACTTTCCGGTTTTTCGAGGCGAAAACGACGGGAAAAATTCATTTAAATTTCAATTATTCTCGAGCGAAACTTCCATAAATAAGTGGAGGAAAAATCCGTTAAACAATTAGGAACACGTTGGGCGCGGTGACGACATCCGGATTGAAAACACCACGGGGGATCAACACGCGCACAGACACACCGGAAAGAAGATAACCTTGAATGCAAACCGGAAAAAAATAATAATAATAATCGTATTTTAAGCCCGGAGGCGCCATTCTAAACGTAGATTTTAATGATAAAACAAATAAACCGATGGGTAACAGGTGCTGTAAAAGTAAAAACGGAACTTCCGGTATTAAATGTGACGCTCGACTCCTCCCATTTCGACGTCACCGGCAACTTCCGGATTAGTTCTCACGCTCCAGAAACCAGAAAATGGCGTCTTGACACCGGATCCGACGTCGCGGGGGGGGGGGAGGAAAAGAGTGGCGATGACTAACCTTTTAGCCTTTACCACGTAAACTCGTCTTCGAGTCTCGTAGGCGTCGCGTGGAAAGCGTGACGATCGACATCCCGGCTTGCGTCACGCCGACGGAATGTCGTCGCGCCCACGCTTCGCTTCGCTTCGAGTGCGCGACGAAACAGAGCCGCTCGCGCGTGTACGCTACTTTGAAGAGTTTCCGAGGAGAGAAATCCGACCCTCTCCGAAGTACACACTCGCTCTCGTTAGAAACTGGGACGGCGGCGCGTCACTTGGGTGTTAAATTCTGCACGTGAAGTTTTTTTCTTTCCCCTCTCGTGGACGGAACCGTTTCGGCCGTCCGACGGTCAATCGACTTCCGAGCGAGAAAATCGCGCCTCCGTTTATCGTATCGATTCTCCGATCGGAAGCGAGAAGCGGAGGCGCGCCGGCGACGTAGGGAAATTTCCCTATCGGTTTTTGAAAATCCACCCGTCGGCCGTTGACAAATAAATCTTCACGATACGTCGCTTTTAATGTTATAATGGAAGGGAAAGAAACACCATCGGTTCGGCGCCATCTTTATGTATTCCGTCCGGCGTCGGAAGCAACGCCGCGCGCGCATCCAGAAGCGCCGGTTTATAATTAAGTTTGCGCTTTAATGTAAGGTCGCTCCCAGCGCGCGCTCTCTCTCCTAACACACGATCGAAGCTTCCGGATCCGGAAGAGGAAACGGAAGTCCGTCTTCTCAGTAAGGAACTGAAACAACCCGACGGAAAGCACGAGGCAGCCGTTCGGCGCGCCCATCCGTCACCGCTATATAAAGAGGAACGTTAGCGCCGAACGGCGGCCATCCTCCGCGTAAATCTTATGGGAAAAAATCGGAAATTTCTCAACGTGTAGACCGGGAACGATTCCGGATGTTGCACGCGACGTTAACGCGAGCGGAGGAAGCGAAATCGGAGGCGCGCCACCCAGTTTTTCCGGTTTTTAGCGCGAGGATACGGAAAATCGCATCAGGAATGACCGGAGTGGGATGGCCCATTTGTTTCTGTTTAGCGAGAGAAGCGAGGATGCCGTATCGAACGGAAGAATGCGACGGAGATCCTCTCGTCGTCTGCTACTCCGATCCTCCGGCTCCGTTCGATGCCCCTTCTCTGCTTTCTTCTCTTTCTTCCCTTTATAAAGCGCCTCCTTCTCCCTTCCGACGCATAAAAAGCCGGATTGATAAGAGTAACGTGGCTTACCTGATATCCGTCGGGCGGTCCGAGCGTCCGTCGTTGGGCCGTGCAAAAAGAACAACACTTTAATTCCCAGCCTACTCTCCACGACCTCCTCAGCGCCATGATACCGCCACTCTCGCCGCCCCGCGCCCCCTGCCGGAGCGAGTCGTAACTAACGCGCCCGCCTGTTCGTCTTCCCTCACCTCCCGACCGTCTTTTCTTCTCTAGTAATTTGCCACTTTCTCCGATTTTTACGGAAGAAAAACGCCGGAAAATCGGAAAAAGTACAAAATTTACTATTTTTACACTTTTAATTACCAATATCGAGTTTCGAACTGCCGACGTTAATTTAATTCGCGCGATCGACGGAAGATGGCGGTAGCCGTCTGTCGATCGAGACGGAATCGATTTCTCTGCCATTTTTTTTTTTTTATTATTTGTTAAGTATAACCAAATAATAGTTCATTATCTTGATAAATGTCGGTTTCCGTTTCCGGTGTCGTAAGGGCTAATCGCCAAAGGAGTAACTTTATCCACGGATAAAGTAACTTTTGAAGAGAGAGGCACGCTCGACGTACCGGAACCGGAAATGTGTCGCCTCCGGTGACGTCTCCGTTTGGCATATTAATTGCTTTCTTTACTCGATTACCGTAATATAAGTAAAGTGGCGAACGGGCAAATTATCCTTTTCTCTCGATTTTTCTGTAGGAAAGAATAGAAAGTAAGCCCAAATGTCGATTTACGGACCGTGATGCGAATGATAATTGTTGGCATTATGTAAATTTCCACGTCCCGCAATGGAAAAGTCGCGTTGGTTAATGCGCCGCGTGACGGGTTACGCGACACGACGCCATTTTTACCCCTAGCGAATCGTACCGTTCCACCTTCTACGTCAGTGTAATTCAACCCTTTTTTTTTTACGACCTTTCCCCCACCCCCCGATTCGGTAATTTTTCCTCCAGGCACCACTACTTCTTCATTTATATAGAGTTATTACACTTTATTATTACAGGTAAAGCGTTATGACGCTGCTCTGCTGTACTTCGTGACACCCCTGGAGTGTCGTTGCGACACTTAAAAGGGTGCAATGATACTTCTACGTAATCAACCGTAATCTTGGCGAATTGTATGGGAAGTTTCTAGCCCTCATCCACGCTGACGAATCCCTCTTGGGCACAATTTATACTCCCGATTACGCTGTCATTTAACTGTCGTTTTGGAAATTTAAATGTCTTTTATGCTAGGAAAATTATTTACGACTCTTCTATCATTTCGTACGGGTAGCCTTGTTATCTAGAAGGGAATATTCCGAAAAAAATCGATGAATTTATGTCATATTTTATAAGGAGAATTAAATGGGAAACGGCCGAACCTTCGACTTATATCGATCGAATGTTCGAGTTTGATATCAACGTTTCTTTTTTTTTGAGGAAAAAGTCTTTTAACAAAGTTATTCTTTGCACTTTTATGAGCATTTTCGTTTCTACGTGTCTTAATACACGTCCACGTTGTAATCTTATTTTCGAAATTACTTAAAAGAGCGGGGGGAGGATAGATAATAAGAGTATACACTTCTTAAACAGTATTAAAAAGACTACTTTTCGAATATATAAAGGTCTAAACAGTAGCCTAATTGTATACTGATTCGGCATTACTACAAGAAAGAAAAAGCTGACTTTGTTGATAAACTTTCCCGTCTGTTTTCGTCCCAAATAATCGCTGCCATTATCTTTATGTCTTCGGATTGGTACTGGAGATATGAAGGAAGTGGGGTCGTATCTCCCGAACCAACTAACCGATTTTCTTGAAAATTTCTAGAAATATTTTCACCTAATACACGAATCTCCCTGCAAAATTTCAGAAATTTTCGACGAAAGGTACGGGAGTTATTACGTTTCGAAGTGGGTGAACATAATCGTGTCCTATAATGAGTACATTAATTGATTAATTAATTTAAAAAAAAAAAATTACAACTTAAATAAAACGTTATCGTAAATATAAACAATCTTTTAATGTCTTATATTTGAAATTTAAAAAAAAAAATCTCTGACGTAATTATTCAATTCTGATGATGATTGGTTTGAAATTAGTTTATCCGAACGGTAATTGGTTAATTTAAAAAAAAAAAAAAAGTCAATTCAAACGAACTTTCTTATTGTATTTTGTACAATATATTATTCTATTCTCAGATGATAAATAAATATATTATTTTATTACAAAATTATTTATTTTTTACAGCTTTTAACGTGTTATTATAATGGCACATAAAATTTATTTATAGTGTATTGAGGATGTTTTTATTGGATATTTGATTTAGGATTTAGTCAACAACTTCACCACCAACAACCCAGTTCTTATTTGAGTCGATATAAAATACGATAAATATAAAATTACGTATAAAATAACTAAAATGACGAATTTACTATAAAGTAAATTTTCCTTTGTCTTTTGTAAGAGTAATTCCTAGTATAATAAATAAATAAAAATTAAAGCATGGGCGCTCATGGAAAGCCCATAAATACTGATGAAATGTGTAAAAATATTTCTAAACGTGAGAACCCCACGCTTTTATTCTTTGTGGCATAATACAAGAATGGTGTGAACGTCGAAGAAAAATTGTTTGCAAACTCTAGAAAAAGTATTGTCAATGGAAATCAAAGTTGTAAACCTTATGGAGTGAAAACACCCCTAAATTTTCCCTAAATTAACAGGGTATTCCTTCTAAAAACTGAAACATGTTCTCACTAGTAGTTTTGCTCTAATTTTCCCAGCAATTTATCCCTAATCTTCTCCCCATCTTGCTTATTTCCCTTAAGTTTAGGGAAGAAACCCTAATTAGGGAATCTGTAATTGAGAAGTGGATGAACATTGAGTTACAATACTTTATCCAGACAGAATAAAACTAGAATAACTTAATAAAAAAAAGTTGTATAATAACAGAAAGAAATACATCTTTTTTAAAGTTTTTAACTAATTCTTTTACTTTAAACCAATGTGCCATTGTATTAGTCGAACGATAAAAGTAAACTTGAGCCACATTGTCTCATTAGAGAATCTTTATCGTGATCTGTTTTATCTGACACATCAAATTACTTTTTCTATCTGTGTTAAATTAGTTATATATCGATCTGATTTTCTTTTGGATATAAAAATAGAATCTTAACTGGCCCTTTTAATGCCTATATCCTTCATTACGTCTGATGGTGTAGGAGAACTTCGCTTTACGAAAATTTCGAAAGTTACTTTCGATTCTTTCTCGCACGAATTCTATTTAAACTTTAAAAGTTCGTGAGTATAAAACGAATAGATAACGTGGGAAATAACACGGAACACAGTTTAGCTGAAATATATATATATATATTTAACGCTTCCAATTTCAGAAATCAGCTCTATGTTATCCATTAAAAAAACAATGGATACCATTGTCATTTAAACCAATCCTATCGTCTTATACGTGTTATCTTCGCTACCGATAACTATATTTTATGGTATCATTATCATACCTCGTTATATATATATATATATATAGTGTATCATTACCGGAGGTTAGTAGATAGGATCATTATCGTCACTCGAATCCATGGAGTATCATTATAGAAATTGGCCCATCAACGATTACTAAAATCTCATACTAAATCGAACATTAAATTCAGTATAAACTGGGCAATATTTAGGTTTTTGGTTCACCACTTACCTATTGTAATTCAGGTCTTAATACGGTTTAAACACTTGTGTAATTAATGCCTCATATGGGTAATGTAATTGAATACGTTATTAAGGCACTAATGCCATGTTTGAAACCTACGAAAGAGCTATTATTAGATGGATCTTAAATAAGGTTCACAATTCCTCTCTTCTATCCAGGAACGTAGCTACTGTTGTGTCAAGTGTAGCGACGTTGCATGCACTTATATAAACACCCCATCGTGGTACTTCCTCTAGAGGGTTTCCGGGTGATTAAGGAATAAAATCGAAATAAGAATATCGATTATAACAAGTAAAAACAATAGGTCTAGTTTATAATTCACATATTTTTTGTATAGTTTTAGTTGTAGTGTGCCACGGAATACTGGGAAGTATCCAGGTCTGGCGTGCGTGAGAAAAGGTTGCTACAGAGCAATGATCTAATTGATCGAGTTAATAACAATCACGCAATAAGTAAAGAGATAAAAGAGAAAGGAAACGATGAAGATATTGATATCACGGCAGCAAAAGAAGTTTATCGAAAAATATGCCTGAAAAACGTTGACAGAAAATATTTCTCAGCAGAGGACGGAAATTTTACAGCGGGTGATCTGGGGAATCCAGGAAAGAATCCTGGATTAAAAACCATAGGAATTTCTCTGGGATGATCCGTAGGATTTTGTCGTAGATACGGGTAGGCCTGAGTGGCCAAAAAGAAAAAAAAAATACTGAAGAAAACTCCTTCTGAATGGATTGAATTGGTGGAAATAAGACAATGCAACGTGTGGGAGATCTGCCAACGGAGAGGTGTCTTGTGGTAACACTTTCATGGAAAAATGGGCCCTATTTAGGTGTTAGACAGGTGAAGAAAATTCAAAAAACTTGCGACCAATTCGTTGATGAGGTTCAAATCTTCCACTAATTACTAATATTTGGTGGTTTTATCCATTTAGTCAATGATGAGACCACCCGAATGAACAGCGAAGTCTCAGAAAATGTGCGAAACCACGACCAAGTGATCGGTTGGTTTCATTTTCCGTTGCCTTCTCAATGATGATTTTATTATTGGTAAGTTTTACTGCATATCTATGCGTGAAGGTCTATCTAATCTAACTCAATAATTGCTCCTGTAGGCTATCATATATCTCTTTTATATCCTAGCTGAAATTATTGTCAGAAAGGCGTGAAAAAACAAAGGATAATGACGGTCTTTGTACATTTCTAATTATCTGTTTTATGTTATTACGAGACACTTATTTACCTTCTATTAACGAACAGACATAATTAAGTACAGTATATTCACATTGATCTATTGTACTACTTCTTAGAATCTATTGATGTGATTAGACATTGAAGCTTCTTGTATAATGTACGATACCCCATTTTATTTAAGCTTGTGATCCGTATTGTATAGTATTCCGGAGCCTCTGAACAATGATTACACCCATTTGGCATGCGACTTTTTTGGCCAAATTTACAATTAGATGTATTTGCAATAAAGGTTCTAGTTAAAGATTGAATTAATAATTCCAAGTTCAATGCACCGCATGAACTAGAAACTATTAATCATTAAATTATTACCACCGAACTGCTTACTGTAATGAATTAATATGGGACAATACAGAGGAGAATAAGGCCCACACCAATCGATAGAAATTCCTTTGTATTAACATTTCTAGAAGGCCCTAATTATAGATTAGAGGTGTGGAGTCACTACACCCGTTTACTTTTTAAAGTAAATCGATGTTTTATTTGGAAATAAAATTGAATTTAGCTGCTCTAAAACTTTATTTATTAATTCGGCAAGCCAAAATTGAATTTACCCCCCTTTATTTAATATACAACCGCATAAAAACACTTCCTTATGAGTATTTATCTTTCTCTTTTCCGGTTCCTTGGTTTAATAAATCTTCTGATCTAGGTTAAATTGGTTCGAGCTGGATAATTTATTTATTAATTATGATAGATCGAGGACCTATACTCTATTGTAATCGATACCTCGACCAGATTATCGTCGGAAATCACGTGATTAATGCGGCTCCGTTACCAATTATACTTCCGAGTTTACGTCTATCGATTATTATACAACCGGAAACCACGTCATTCTCGTACACTTAATTACGTTTTATAAATCCCTTTTACGCCGAAACGAGCTTAAATATCCGATATAATTTTGGTCGGATTTAAGACGGAAATTGTCATATGATCAACCGGATTTACGTCACAAATAAGAATTCAATAGTTGAAGCATCGCGGGTGTTTTTAAATTTACTCAGTTTACATTCCTCAACAGGGAATATAAAACTGTAAATTAATACTTTACTAACGAATTTATTTCCAGCGTATCGTATTACACATCAACCAATCTACCCTTATTTAATATTTCATTTAAAATATCAGGATTAATCTCAAATCGAAAGTGGAGAAGACGAGATTTTGTTCACCTAATTTAAAGCTTAATAACTCCTGTTCCTTTTGACGAAAATTTCTGAAATTTTGCAGGCAAATTCGTGTATTAGACTGAAATGTTTATAGAAATTTTCATAAAAATCGGACAATTAATTCGGGAGATATGACCCTCCTTTCGTACCAATCTTATAAAGGTGATGGTAGCAAGTATGAAAGATGGAAACAAATAATTAAAAAAAAATGTAGGCAAAGAGTACCATCTCCTGTTAATATAATGAGTTGAACAACTGATATTGTTAACTTAGAAGTAATTGGCTATATATTTTTATTGTCGCCAGTCAAATGATGCAATGAAAATAGGAATGAGGACACAGCATCAATTGTAGTAACATAAAACTATTTAGAGGCCGATGTCATCCTTTTTTTTTGTACGTGTGTGTGTGTGTATCTGTCTGTATGTGTGTCTGAGACAAAGTTATTTTTTCTGATCTTAAAATACGTTATTTCCAACCGGTAGATCGCGGTAGTTTTCGGGGATCGTCAAGAGCATTCTATGCCTGTTAAGCGTGTTTCGTAATAGGTAAAGGTTGAGAACCGTGATAGAATTATACAGAGGCGTTGTTTATATTGCTAGATCCGTGTGTTTAAGTATCGCTTATTGTTATTTCGTAAGGCTTCTACTATATTTAGAAACGTAGCAGACGTCTCCCCGTTTTCCATCGATCGTTTTCGCTCTAAAAATAAATAAGGATAAACGACTCGAATAAAAATTCTGACTAAAATTTATATATATAATGTTTATTTATAATTAAAGAAAAAAAACGAATTTTTTTCTTTAAAATCGAGTCGTGATTTCGATCGAAAGAAAGAAGG